ATTTTTTTCGCAGATCTCAAGCGGAAAGCTGTGATATATATATATATATATATTTGTATATCAATTATTAAAAAGATTGACCTAAATTATAGTAACACTCTTTTATTGGAATCACAGATTCAAACACAAAATGGCTCAATATATGAGGGTATATTTAGAACATTCTCAAGTAATTTTGACGTAGTATTAGAAATGGCCCATCGGGTAGAGGAAAAGATTAACGCAGATAACGTAGTAGAGAAATTAATTTTTAAATCACATGACATTGTCACTATATCTGCCAAGGATGCTGATTTGGAATATGCTATAAGAGATACTTTCCAAACGGATACAGCTATTAGTAAATTTAATGGTTTAGTCGGTGAAAAAGAACTTGAGCCTTGGGATCCACCAACTGCTGCTATGAATGGAACCGAGCTAGAATTAGATGGTGCCTCTGTAAGTTTGCAAATTTATTGCAAGACAATGAATCAAACAATGAGTTATATAAAATTGTTTGATTTTCAGAATGGTTGGGATGTTAATGAAATGTTTCGTAAAAATGAACAAGACTATGGAGTTCAAACAACATTTGAGCCTTCATTAGTAGGTTATACTTTACAACTTCGTAAAGATACAAAAGATTATAAAGAGCAAGAACAGAAGGCTGCTGAAATAGCAAATGAGATTGAATCTCAACCTAATCATAAGGCTAGATTAGAATTGGAAAATGGAGATGAAGAAGAAAGATTTGCAGCTGTAGTAAGAATTATTTTGAAATTTTTATTTTTAGTTATTGAATATTTTTCTTAATAACTACTCACCTTTAGACAAGGCCCACCGAAGGAAAATATATTCCACCGCCATTGAAGAAGAAGAATGGTAACACTAGCAAATTAATGAGATCCAATGAACCTCCATCTTCGCCAGGAACTACAAATAGTAAGAATGTCTACAACCAACCATCTCCGTCCACAGTCAATGTAAATGTCCCACAACCGAATATATCGGTTGGAGTACAGCCTACTCATGCTTCGGTGCAACATCCGGTATCTTTAAATATGGGTATGCCACCCAATGGAGTGGTTGTCACGTACAATAATCCACCGCCGCCATTCGTGCCTCCACCTACGACACAATCGCAGCAAGGTATATTAATTTATTTGTGACCTTTGTTAAGAACTCTTTGCAAGGGTTTAAATGAAAAACGCACTATTGCAACAGACTATACTATGAGAATATTGTAAGTTCTTTTCTGTTAAATTGGCATGCATAATTTTATTGCATTATATAAATATATTTGTACAATAGATCATAAAAATTGAATAAGAAACTACCAATGTGTACTTAGTGATTTAACAAAGAGCAATACTGCATACACAATGAAGATTTTCAGCTAGCTATTGTAGTGACTTTTTGCATGCAGTAAATATTTTTTAGAAAACTCTATAGTAGCTCTTTATATATAATAAACATATGATAAAAGTTGCTGTAATAACTTTTTATAGTCAAAAGCCTAAATTATTACTTTCAGAGCAAGACTGCACAAGGGTATTGAATGATAATTGTATGTTCCTTTGATACAGTAATCCAACAGAATCAACCACAATCTCAAGTTACTCCCTCAATGCCGCAAGTAGGCTTTCCTCCACAGCAACAACAACAACAAACACCTTTGAATAAAATAAATACAGAGAAACGAGAGCGACCTGGCAGGCAACAGGTTTATCAAGCTGATAAAGCGCCACCAGCGCCATTTCCTCAATCAAATGCTGCATCTTTGCATCAGCAACAACAGTCTTCACATCAGCAACATACATCATTACCACAGCAGAATTCTGTAGAAGGACAAATAGTCATACACAAATCAGATCATCGGAAGGTACGGCGCATATATTTTCTCTCATTTAAAATAATTTTCCTTTTTAAAAGAAAGACAACTCATTTACGATTATAAGTTTTACTTCAAGGTTCCGACGCCTCGTGGCAGAGATGAACAACATTCGGAACTGAGACAATTTGCTGCGGAATTCAAATTAGCGGAATCGCCAGATACTTCTCAAATTTCCCGAAAGCAACAGCATCAGCATCAACAAGATGTGCATTCTGCTACTCCGATGAATCAGCCGCATCATCAAGCTCCTTCTCAACATACAAGTACACAACAGCAACCGCAACAACAGCTGCCAACGCAGCAGCATACAAGTCCTCATCAACAACATCAGACTGTACAAGAAGAACCTGTTATTACCAGTAAGCCACCACCTGGTCCACCACTAGCAGTAAGATCTACAAGTCCGCCTCAGCAGCAGCAGCAGCAGCAACAACAACAACAACAACCACCACCACAAACGAATACTCCAACAGTACAACAATCACCACCAGAACCTGCAGTTGATAAGATAACTACTGCTTTTAAAAAATCTACATTGAATCCAAACGCTAAAGAATTTAATCCAAATGCCAAACCTTTTACACCAGTAAGTAATGTAAATCACTAGTAAATCGAACTTGAGTAGAAATAATGAAATATTTGCTTGTATAATCTATAGCGCTCTCCTAGTACACCAACACCTAGTCGGCCGCATACGCCTCAGACTCCTCAGTATACAGGAGTGACTATGCCCGCAACTGTTGTTATGCCGGCGTATGTAACACCAACGGCATTTAGTCAGCCACCAGCTCAACAAGTGACAAGGTTCCGAAAGGGTCAGTATTCCCTAAATAGTCATAATTATTTTTAGTTATGACTGTGTTAAGCTCAGATGAAATGTTAACACACACACATGTACACGTATGTATATATTTTTTTATAGTTAATACAGATTTGAAAAATTTCTTGATAGAAAATTTATTTTGAAGATTATATATATATAAAATCTTTAAAATAAATTTTAATAAGTCTTAATTTCGGTTCAAAATTATTGGTTTCTCGAAGATATTTCAGATTAATTGTGATTTTATTTATCTTTATTGCATAATTACGTATTGATGCTGAAAATAAAACAACATTATATAACATTATATATTGTCATATCTTTTATAGTGCCAATGATGCAACATCGTGCGCCAGATATAGCGTCCCAGATGCAAGTGGCCGCAGCAACGGGACAGCCGTTATTAGCGCCAGCCATACATCCACCATTCCAGGTGCCTTATCCAGGACAACCGGCGTACCAGCAAATGGTACGCATGGTCCAGGCACCGCCGCCACCGCCGCACATGGCTACTCCATATCACCATCATCATGACTCGCAAGGCCCGCAGGCCCCTGGTATACAATACATGGGCCCGCATACACATCCACATCCTCATGTAACTCAACAACCACCTAGCCAAACACCATCTCCAGCCAATCCAAATCAACCGCACACACCGGGCGCTTATAATCCACCCGGTACTCCACAGCCTACGTATCCGCAACCTCCGCCTCAGGGTCATGCCCCGAGTTATCCAATTATGTGTCCAATAATTCCACCTCATATACCAATTCCACCACAGCACATGCAATACCTACCACCGCAGCCCCCTCCGGGTGCGCAACAAACTATACCCGTTATTTTACCGCACAATCAGTAGCTGGTAACATGAAGTAAAAGAAGAAAGAGAAGAGTGCTAGTATTCTGAAATGGTAGAATAAGACTTTCAAAATTGAGTTACTTTCACGATGGTATGATCGCTTGCTTTGATTGATTGCTTGAAAAACTGCTCGCTTCTATAGACTCTCAATTTATCCGATCAATCCATTATCCGTCAACAGTGTAAATTAAACACTTACTCAACTTTCTATATTGATGAGCAGTATAAAATTATCTCGCCTTTTGTTTCGTAGTGAGAAAAAAGAAGGATAATCAATACAAAGCAATATTATCCTGAATGATGCTTTAAACAATTTTAAACAATCAAAGAGTATTAACCATCATGAAAGTAACTTTTCTGCTTTAAATGTAGGTCGATCATCGAATTATGACCTATATCTGTATTATGGACTCTTTAAAAGATGTGCAAAATAATAATTTTTGGTCGGTAAAACAGATGGCTTTTGGATCCCCTTAATAATAAACAAATATAATATAATTATGCATTGAAAATAGATAATTTAAAATTTTAAATATTTCATCACATTGATTATTTTAATCAAGTTTTAAAATTATATTATTTCGTAAAATTTCCACGGAGTTACTTTTATCGGATTAATATGTCGGATACAAAAAATGAGTTATCAAAGATTTCTTTGATAACATGCATTTTTATTGAGTAGTGCTTTAATGTATTGGAGAGAATACGATGGATCGCTCGTTTAACATGCGCATTTTGAATTTAAAAATATAGCTTACACTACTTTGTAAAATAATTGAACCAAGATTTTCAACCAAAAAACGAAAAATATCGCGCGAGCGAGTTTATCTCTATCTCCCTCCTCTCTTCTTTTTTTCTGTTTTTAAGAGATGATTATCGAAATTGCGAGAATGAGGTATATGAAAATACATGGCATATTTTTCTGCCCATGTGTGGCCAGGTGTTAATTTTACTCACGAAGAAGAGCAAGAAGAACTCGCGAAAAAAACGGATAGAATGGTTACGACTACTCCTTCGAATCTGATTTGAACGAAACGAGTAATAATTACTGAAGCTGGCGTACGGCTTGCAGGGTAAAACACTAGCGAAATATACGATTCTGCGGTTTGTTGATGAGTTTTGTTACAAGGTGTTGATACGTGCACGATTTTCAAACGCGAAAGACTACACCGAATATGCGAACAGATACAACATCTGCACAACCGACAAATCCCACAACGTTAACGGTGCGAATAGCAGGCATCAGAGAGGTACATAATTACATATCGAACAATGTAAGCTTCAATTGAGTTTATTATCAAAACTTCAACAAATAGTTTCAGTAATAGACATAACACATTAATATTATACTTTGCGTTAGTAGTTTAATACAATCTTTGTGTTTTCATATTTTATCATGTTTAGAAACAATAAATGCATAATGAAAAGTACGAAATAATATAATTTAAAAGTTTATTCGAAAAAAGATGATACACATAAATGTTATTAAACTTAAAAAAATTTGATATTACCGATTTTATTCTTATAAATCCGAATTATATATAAAAATTCATGTTTATTATATATATTATATTAATATAAAAGCTCAATTTGTTTTATAAGTGTCATATAAAATAATTGCTTGGCAGAAGAAAATATCAAGAAACGTGTAACAAATATCTGCCCACATCATTTTTAAAATTTAAAAATTATGTAGCATTTATCGTGAAAGATTACATATATCTATGCATAATTTCTTTGTTAAAAGTTAAATTTAATACTAAAACTATAAAATATTATTTAAGGGATAATTAGAGATGAAGCAATGTAATTGATTTGTATGCGAGTCGTTTGTTAATTATGTACTTCTCATTTAATGAGCAAAAAAATAGATGCTTGATAGCTGCGTGAACTAAGAATATATCTGAACATGGTATATATACTATTAATTAGAGGACAAGCGATGAGATTAGCGGTAAAGAAAGGAAGATACTGCTAATAATTACAAACTTTTTCGATTTAGTTCACATAAATAATTAAATCCTTTTATTCTATAGATTCTTTTCTATGTTAGAATAGTTTCCCTTTAAATTGGAATTCTCTTACACTGCTCTTTTATTATGCATTTGTTACATGACTGTATGAAAGTTATGGACATGCATAATGTTTTATTTGTTTTTGTATGCTTGTCTATACGAAATTGATTGTAACATTTATTTATATATATAATATATTATATATATAAATA